AGAAATACTATGACTTAGTAGTAATACTATAACATAACAGTTCAATGTTCTTGCACAAATACCACAATATGGCAGAAATACTATGTTTTAGCATAAATACTGTGATTTGGTATAAATACTACAATTTGGCACACATACTATATTCCGCAGATACACTATAACATAACAGATATTCTACGACTTAGTAGTAATACTATAACATAACAGAATTATTAATTGGGCACAAATACCACAATTTGGCAAAAATACTATATTTGGGTACAAATACTATGATTTGGCAATAATACTGCATTTTAACACAACTACTGAGATTTGATTGAAATACTATGATTTTGAAGAAATACTATTACTCCATACAAATACGATGCTTTGGGACAAATACTATGTTTGGGTTCCAATACTATGATGTGCAGCAAATACTATGATTTGGCACAAGTACTATGATTTAGTACAAATACTATGATTTGGCAGAAATACTATGCCTTAGTAGTAATACTATAACATAAGAGATATACTATGGTTTTGCAGACAAACCAAGTTTTCTGCACAAATACCATGATTTGGAACAAATGCTATGATTTAGCAGAAATACTAAGATTGGGTACAAATACTATGATTTGGCAATAATACTGCGTTTTAACAACAACTACTGAGATTTGATTGAAATACTATGACTCCATACAAATACGATGCTTTGGCACAAATACTATGATTTGGCAGACATACTATGACTTAGTAGTAATACTATAACATAACAGATTTCCTAAAAAAAACTATGAAATTGCAGTAATTCTATGACTTGGCAGAGATACTACGTTTTAGTACAAATACTATAACAACGCAGAAATACTATGACTTAGTAGTAATACTATAACATAACAGTTCAATGTTCTTGCACAAATGCCACAATATGGCAGAAATACTATGTTTTAGCACAAATACTGTGATTTGGTATAAATACTACGATTTGGCACAAATACTATATTCCGCAGATACACTATAACATAACAGATATTCTACAACTTAGTAGTAATACTATAACATAACAGAATTATTAATTGGGCACAAATACCACAATTTGGCAAAAATACTATGATTTGGCACAAATACTATGATTGGGTACAAATACTATGATTTGGCAATAATACTGCATTTTAACACAACTACTGAGATTTGATTGAAATACTATGATTTTGAAGAAATACTATTACTCCATACAAATACGATACTTTGGGACAAATACTATGTTTTGGTTCCAATACTATGATGTGCAACAAATACTATGATTTGGCACAAGTACTATGATTTAGTACAAATACTATGATTTGGCAGAAATACTATGCCTTAGTAGTAATACTATAACATAAGGGATATACTATGGTTTTTCAGACATACTATGTTTTTGCACAAATACCATGATTTGGCACAAATGCTATGATTTAGCAGAAATACTATGAATGGGTACAAATACTATGATTTTGCAATAATACTGCGTTTTAACAACAACTACTGAGATTTGATTGAAATACTATGATTTAGAAGAAGTACTATGACTCCATACAAATACGATGCTTTGGCACAAATACTATGATTTGGCACAAGTACTATCATTTAGTACAAATAATGTGATTGGGCAGAAGTACTATGTTTCAGTACAAATACTATGATTTGGCAGGAATACTCTGATTTAGCAGAAATACTATGTTTTAACATAAATACTATCTTTTGGCAGAAATTCCTGCTAAAAAGGACTATTTCTGCTTTTTAGCAGAAATACTGTAATTTGGCATAAATACTATAATTTGGTATAAATACTGTGATTTGGCACATATAATATATTCAGCACATATACTATAACATAACAGAAATATTATGATTTGGCCCCAAAACCATGATTTTGCACAAATACCATGATTTGGCAAATATACTATGATTTTTCAAAAATACTATGATTTAGCAGAAGTACTAAGATGTAGTAGAAGTACTTTGCTTTAGCAGAAATACTATGATTGAGGAGTAATACCTAAACATAGGAGAAATATTGATACACAGACACACATACACAGACAGTAAAGGGAACAGGAGCTGTTGAGAGTCTGGGCTTGGTATATGTAGGTCAGTTAAATTAGCTGCACCTGCTGTAGTCAGCCCTTACACACGCAGACACAGAGAGAGGTGTGAGTTTTCTTCAGTGTATTTCTGACATTCAGGATTCCCCTCGAACAAATGGCCATAATTTCCTAACCGTAGAGGCTAGAACGGTCATTCAGACATTGTTTTGTTCAGAAGAGATGGGGGAATCTTCAGGTCTTCATAATTCAGAGATAAAATATAAATTATTAAAGATATATGACTTGTAATACTCTGTAACTGAGTAGAGGCGAAGCAAAAACTGCCTTGACTTGCTCTCAAACAACCTTTGGTAACTCTAAATCTATATGGAGCATCAAAATCATTCTTTCACCGTAAGAAACAGCAGGCTTTGGTGAACAGTCATGGAAATTTTCAGGGCTCTGTGGAAATCCATCAAAAAGATATGATGAGAGAAAAAAGTGACTCATTTCCAGAATTTGAAATCTGATGAAATCTGAGCAAGGGACAAATTTCCTACCCTCAAACAAGTCTAACTCATCTCAGAACGGTAATAGGTGAGAAAATAATTCTTGAATTGTGAGCATCAGGAGTGTCTGAAGATATACCGGGACAAGCCTCATGTCTTAACTTCGCTTCGTTAAGGAGATATGACAATTTGAAAATGCCTCTCATTAGAGAAATCCAGCGGTGATTTTGAACAAACTCTCCATTGAGTTTATATGGAGAGTTTTCTGACTTTGTGTTACTCTGAGGAGATTTGCAAAATAACTATGAGTCCCACAACAATGATAGGGACATTTTCTGAAAGCCAGCAAAAATACCTACGTTTTGGTGTATAATCTGTGGGGCTTGAGTGGAAATTGAGCGAGTAGCAAGACGTTGTTTGGACATGAAGAGAAATTCAAACAGTTTCACTGTCCCCTCTGAGTTAATTGCATAGCAACCATAGCAACGCATGTATTTTCTGAAAAATCACAATTTTGCAACTGAAGACTTAAAGAGAGATAAGATGAAAACAGTAGAAGATCTGAAAAAGCTGAATCATACAGGAATAGCCCAATCATTTGAGAACGTTTTAAAGTTTGAATGGAGTTTCTAGGTGAAAGTATGAGGCAGTAGTTAAGTTTCAAAGACAAGAAAGTTTTAGCAGAATTGTGGAAGTTTCCCATTCATTTCAATGGGACAAATTAAAGGAAAAAAGTGTAATATTTTAAAAAGTATAATAGTAATAAACACCAAAAGTCATAGCCGGCATAAGCAGAAAGAGCAGAACAGTTTAGAGTTTGAACGGTGAAAATAGCACAAAAATTGTGGAAGTAGATCCACGGCGAAAAGTGTACGGAAACACCCGGAATAATAAAGAATAAAGAGAAACAGGAACTCAATAGTGTGGATGCCTATTAAGGCATCCACACAAATATAATAATAATAATAAAGATTACAACAACAATACTGTGAATGCTTTTCAAGCATTCACACTAATAAGAATAAATACAGTACACAACTGTACAGAATAGAATAAAATAAAATACTATATACAGTAGAATAAAATAAAATAAATATACAATAAGATAAAAATAGAATACAAATACAAATACTATATACAACTGAGTAAAAATACAACGATGACAGAAGGATTATTGCACTTAGTATTATTGCATATGTATGGATGTGTGTGCTTGATCAGTTAAAGTCTTTATTATGGAGTCTGACAGCAGTGGGGAGGAAAGACCTGCGAAATCTCTCCGTCCCACACCGTGGGTGCCGCAGTCTCCCACTGAAGGAGCTGCTCAGTGCTGTCACAGTCTGCTGCATGGGGTGGGAGATGTTGTCCAACAGTGATGACAGCTTAGCCGCCGTTCTCCTGTCACTCACCACCTCCACTGGGTCCAGAGGGTATCCTAGAACAGAGCTGGCCCTTCGGATCACCCTGTTCAGTCTCTTCCTGTCCCCAGCAGAGATGCTGCCGCCCCAGCAGACCACACCATAAAAGATAGCAGAAGCCACAACAGAGTCATAGAAGGTCTTCAGGAGTGGGCCCTCCACTCCAAACGACCTGAGTCTCCGCAGCAGGTACAGCCTGCTCTGCCCTTTCCTGTAGAGGGCGTCTGAGTTATGAGTCCAGTCCAGTCTATTGTTCAGATGAACACCAAGGTACCTGTAGCTGTCCACAGCCTCAATGTCCATACCTTGGATGTTCAGTGGTTGCAGTGGAGAATGCTTGTGCCTGCGGAAGTCTACCACCAGTATGTTTTAGCTTCTGATTCAACACACCTTGTCCAGGTAATAAACATGCTACATTTTCTTTTGTTACTGAGGTTGTTTGCGGAGGAATTGTACTGAAATACATTATTGTTTTTGCCCACTCATTTATAATTAAAGGGCTGCTGTAATGTTTGATTTATGTTGTATGACACAGAAGTGTATTACTTCGAAAATGTTATGCAATAAACTGTTTCATCAGTTGGAATAATTTAAATGGCTATGTTTGCATGGATAATTGTGAGTAGGATATATGTAAAAAAGTAAGTTAGATTAACTCAATTAATGTAATTTGTCAACTCAATATTACCAGAAATTCTAAATTAATATTAGGTTGCTTAAACTTAATTATGCTTTTACAGGTCAAAGTAAATCATGTTGGTTTGTTGAACCAGTTGAGTTAGCCAAACCTAAAAATTACTTGCTGGATTTACTTAATAATATGCAAAATTTGTAACTTAAAAAGCTGAGTGGAAATTGTTACCTCAATTTTTTAAGTTGAGCCAACAAAACATTTTTTAGAGTGTGAGACTTGGGGTGGAGTTTGAAGTAGCAGCCTCAAATCATAGAAATCTATATCATTTCTTTTTTTTTTTCAAATAAATTACAATGCTGACCAAAATTGTAAGATAAGAACTGCAGACCTTGTCCAGACAGAAGTGTCACGTGCTGCACTTTGTTCAGGATGTTGTCCGCTGGATTGCCGTTGTACCTCATGGCCTGAGCGTTGACACGGACAGACAACACCTTATTGGTGTGATCCTTACTGCTCAGCTTGAGCCTCAGTTTAATGTCCTGGCCATTTATCGCCTTGGTCTCCTGGTGTTGAAGTTACATTGAAAGTTATGTTGAAACCAAGCACACCAGTGTTTTTCTTGTGACATTACCAATAAGTTTGATGTGTCACATGACCCTCTTCCTATTGAAAAAAAACAAAAGTTGTATCCAAGATGGCCGACATCTAATTGGCCACCATGGTCACCGCCCATCTTGAGGAGTTTGTCCCCTCACATATACTAATGTGCCACAAACAGGACTTTAATATCACCAACCATTCCCACGGTGTATCCATATAAATGGCCCACCCTGTACATCAGTGTGACAGGTTGAAGGACTACTGCATATAAAACTGTTCAGTTAATACTAATTCATATCAGTTCATATAAGGACAAATAATGTAAATATGGTAAGAAAATGGTTAAGAGGTTATTTTTTCATGTTATATTAATGGCTTTCATGTTACTTAAGAGAACTGCAATCTATACATCACTGATCGGCTAGTAAGCCTTTTCTGGGATCGATTTGTAGTGTCTCTAATCTCCACTAGGGGCTTTTGTAGCATTCTCCTCACTGCATGAGAGACGCAAGTCATAATAACTCTCGTGATTCTTTTCCCCGTGTTTTCAGGTAAAAGTGCTTAAAGGTTGACATATTTTCAATTTGTACACTGTTAAGGTGTAACCCTTCATTGTTTTGTAAGCTTTAGAAGCATATATTACAGTTTTGTGCACATATACATGGCGGTTTTGAGCCTCAGTTTTGTACTTTATAATGGAAATTAAGATAACGGCAGGAGCTAAAACCGCCGCTATTGTGAACTATTTTTGAGGAAACATGTTCTGGCATATATAGTAAGCACTTTAGTATTTTGGTTTATTATTTAGTGTTTGTCTTCCATCATGTGACATTTAGCAGTACAGAATGTGAAACATTTCTGTTCATTTTCACTGCAATAAACGACTGCACGAGAGACGCAAGTCATAATCACTCTTGTGATTCTTTCCCCCTGTTTTCAGGGGTGTAACATCAGCCGAGATTCCGCACAACACTCCCCTCCATTCACCTCCTGAATCTCCGCTCTCCGCTCTCTTCCCAGCGAATCCCAGATACTGTCTTAGAGTCACTACTTTAAGACAGTATCTGGGTAACAGTGCTCCAATATAATGTTGTACCTGGTGGGGCAGTCTATATGCTGTCTATATTTAGAAAGTTTATGGTTTAGATTTGCTCTGTTAGAATCCCCAAGGACAATTGTGAAGGAATCCAGGAATTTTCTTTCAAGGGTGGTAATCTGGTCAGCCAGTGCGTTGTTTGCATTGGCCTGAGGAGGGATGCAAACTCCAACCAGCATGAAGGAACAAAACTCCTGCAGTGAATAAAATGGTTTGCAGTTGATGAAAAAAGTTTCCAGGTTTGAGCAGCAGTATTTCTGTAACACTGCGACATCAGTACACCAACCTTCGTTGATGTAGAAGCAGACTCCACCACCCTTTGTTTTCCCTGAGAGCTCCGCTTCACGGTCCACCCGATGAAGTTGTAAGCCCGGCAGATTTCGCTCTGTCCCCCAGGCAGCCTTGGGATATTCTGATCACTGCCTGGTCCATCTTATTGCAGTTTAAAGGCAACAACTCAAACATGCCAAGCCTGTATTAAAAACTGTGAAGAAGTGGACTAACGCAGCAAAGCAGGAACTGTAGGACTGTTTTGACTGCACTGATTGGACTGTTTTCGAAGCTGCATCTCAGCATCTGGATGAGCTGACGGACACTGTCTGACACTGAAAGGCTGCACCATTTCCAGGGTCAGCAGGAAGGGCTGGCCACGCCTAACAATCAGCTGCTTTCTTGTAATTTCAATGGTGCGATGAGCAGTGTTGTTAGTCACGCAGTGAAAATTCACCTTGTTAATTCCTGCAACAAAAAACACAACATGAGTACAAATGTAATTATCTTAGAGAGCCACAAAAGCAACTATAAGTATGACATGAAAAGCCTTTGTTAACTGGCAAGCTTGAAATTTTACAGGAAGTTATAATTCAGAAATGGTAGTGATGACATTTGAGTCACAGGTTTCTTATCTTACTGTTTTTAACTCTTCTAGGATTCAAAAATATTCAAATTATCTCAAAAATATCTCAGTTTTGATCATAAATTCCTCTGCAATGACCTATTTTTAAGTTGTTATTTACTTCCTGTTAGTGCCCCTTTCACATATTGTGGGCTTTTGAAAACTGTGAAAAAATATAAAATAGTTAATAATTTCAACTATTTTCAAACATCTGTGAGAACAAGATGATTTTTTTTTTTTTTTAGAGAATCAACAATTAGCAATCAATATTCACAAATTACTAAATTCCACTTTTAAATCAACCCCGGTGAACTTTCATTTCTCCCGTCACCACCAACTGGTCGGAGCACATAGCTGTCCCTCCCTGATCCTGGTGCTACTGGTGGTTTGACCTTAAGATGACAGTTGTTATGATTTGGCAATATAGAAATAAATACAAACAGAACTGAATTAAATTTAATAAAATTCAGTTGAACTGAATTTTATTAAATTTTAATTCATTTCATTGACAGTTGGACAGTAATTAAAATTGAAGTTTATCTGTTTAAGTAGAAGTAGCTGAGCTGGTTTGGTGATATGGTTGTTTGTCATCTGGTATTCATTCTTAGAGTATCAAACTCATCTGGATTCATTTCTGACTATATATTTTAACTATCAGGAAAAATCTCTGAAAAAGTGAAAATGTACCACACACCACGCCTATGGCTTTAAGCCTGATGCCCTCCAGATAAACACCTGCTGATGAAAGCCAATTGATGGGGCGATCGTGGCTCAAGAGTTGGGCGTTCGTCTTGTAATCGGAAGGTTGTCGGTTCGAGCCCCGGCTCCGACAGTCTCGGTCGTTGTGTCCTTGGGCAAGACACTTCACTCGTTGCCTACTGGTGGTGGTCAGAGTAGGCACCACCAGCGCCACCAGAGGGCCCGGTGGCACCAGTGTCCGGCAGCCTTGCCTCTGATAGTGCTGTGGCTACACTGTAGCTTGCCATCACCAGTGTGTGAATGATTGTGTATAGTGTAAAGCGCTTTGGGGTCCTTAGGACCAAGTAAAGCGCTATACAAATACAGACCATTTTACAAGCACAAAAGGCTTTAATCATTTTTTATTTTTTATCAATGTATATATTTTTTTCTCTTGGTGGACTAATAATACAGTAGTACTGTGTAAAAGCATTGAGCTACCTGTAGTTTCTTTATGTTTAGCTAGGAAAAATGGAAATATGTGCATTGAATTGTGTGAAAACGTACAAATCGATGAAATAGATGATATAAGGCATCAAAAGGGAAGCAGGGATTTGAGCACCTTCCCCTGCCTGTACCCATCAACAGTAACATTTACATTTTACTAAATAAAAGGATCTGGCTTGCATCAGTCACATGACGACCATAAACCAATGCTCACCCTTGATGGCAGAGGGCGCTGGTTACGAGCCGGGAACGAGCTCGCAAAGAGTATGCACATTTTTTGTGTACACGTTGTTAAGTTTTCTTGTGGCAACTGACGAATTGAAACAAATGAGCACACTGTGTGTGCAACAGTGCAACAAAACATTAGCCGTACTTTTATTAACTGCACAAGTAGTGGTGGTCATTAGCCGCTAGCTAACTGGATAAGGGTGTCATGGCTCTGTAGCTCTGTCCATCAAAGTGACACCAAAATGTCACTGTATGCACACGTGTGTATGTGTGCATGTTTTATGTGTATAGATTTTTTTTGCTACATTGTTACCCTACCATGACCACCCATTTGTTTTTCCCTAGTAATATTCCAGTTTCAGTTCATTTCCCACAGTTTTTTAAATCTGTTGTCTTATGGTTCCAAGCAATGTCACCAATCTTTGTATTTTATTATTATCTCATAACACTTGTTTAATCAGATACAGTGTCTCCTATGGACTTTTGAATGTCTACTTTCTCCGATCAGCACAGCCCTGCCCTGCAGCACAATCAGCAGCAGGAGCAGCAGCATCATTGTAACCATCAGGTAAAACATAGGCTACATTTGCTTCGCATTGTTCCCACCTGATGACAGTGATATAGCATAATGTAATTCCATATTAGATTCTAGATGAATGTGGGTCTTTCATATTCAGCCTGGTTCTCTGTGCCACTTTTTAACTTTGAACACCCGCCCCTTTAAACGTCTGTGCACAGCACTGGTGTGTTAGGAAAAATTGGGCCTCATTTACTAACATTTGTGTGGGAACGTTCTTACCCTGTGCAAAAAATAAAAATATGCCACCATATAAAAATACTGTCAGATTTATGAAATGTGTACAAACCTATTTTGCTCTCAGCACCGTGCGTAGGTCAGTAAATTTGAATTGTTTGGAACCAACAGCCTTGTTGAATCTGTATACTGCCCCACAGCAATTTCTCTGTATAGCAACACGTTTATTTCCAGGTGAAGCAAAGAAAGGGGTGAAATGAGAGACAAGATAAGACAAGAGATCATGGAATATGTTTCAGTTGACAAATGCTTCATGGTCACAGCTGCAGTGATGCAGATGTCGCACCGGTCTGTTGTGGTGAAGACAGAGCTCAGTGTAAAGCTGTTGATTTACTGGTCGATACGTCCCCTGTGCTTTCCCCAAGTGATAGCATTTTGTTTCCCTTTATATCCCTTTTTTTTGTAATTACAGGATCTGACCTACTTACTACTTTCTGTTAAAAGGGAGTTCTTCTTCCTACTGTCAACTAGTGCTTGCTCATAGGGGGTTGTCTGCTTATTGGGGTGTTTTTCCTCTCAGTGTTTTTTTAGGCTTTTTACCTTTCAATATAAAGTGTGCAAAGAATAAAGTGCCTTGAGATGAGTATCAATGTGATTTGGCAATATGGAAATAAAATTTAATAAAATTCAATTCAATCGATTTGTATAAACTCATCACACTGACAGTTTGATAATAACTGAAAATAAAGTTTATTTGTTTAAGTCGAACTAGTTGGTGTACAGCTGGTTTGGTGATATGGTTGTTTGTCGTCTGGTATTCATTCACAGAATATCAAACTCATCTGGATTCATGTCTGACTGCAAACTTTAACTGTCGGGAAAACTCTCTGAAAAAGTGAAAATGATGATGAAAGCCAAGCACAAAAGGCTTCAATTTAATTTTTCTTATCAATGTATCTTTTTTCTCTTGGTGGACTAATAACAGTAGTACTGTGTGAAAGCATTGAGCTACCTGTGATTTCTTTATGTTTAGCTAGGAAGAAGGGAAATATGTGCATCGAAGTGTACGGTAATGTGATTGGAATAATTGGGCCTTATTTACAAGCATTTGTGTGGAAATATTTTTACCCTGTGCAAATAAATAAAATATATAAATCAAACTGAATGTAATGAAATAGAACTGAAAAATTTATTATCTGTTGCTGGACTATTATTACAGTACAGTGTGAAAGTCTCTACCCACCTCTTGTTTTGTTTTTTTAATATTTTACTAGGAAAATGGTAAATAAATGTAGCAATTTATTAAATTGTGTACAAGCACATGGAAATATAGGATATAAGGCAAAAACAGAGTTTGTACAACTATGAGTTGTAGCTGGTGTGACCAACTTTATTCTTCAAAACTGCCTGCTCTCTTCAGTCATTCAAACATCTTTTTTGAATGTCGGCTGCCTTCTATTCTGTTCCTTGTCAACACACTACATTGGTAGTGTGTTAGGGATCATCGTCATTCTAAAAAAGGAACTTTTCCAGAAATTTACAGACAGATATTGCATGGTGGATCAAAATCTGATTGAGCATAACTCATAATTCCATCAATTTTAGCAAGATCTCCAACATCACTGGCTAAAGTGCAGCCCTGAATCAGGTTAGAGCGTTCACCATGTTTTACAGATGGCTGTAGAGACTCACTGTTGTACGGCTCTCATGAGGTCCTTTATATATATTGTCAAAAATTTGAACCAGAATTTTCAAATTTTTAATTTCTTTTAATTTTTTTTTTTGTAATTTCAGACAAATGATTCTTGTTCAACCTTTTTCTAGTTGTCAGGTCATTTATATATATTTATAATTAAAAAAATAAAATGTATGGGGCGATCGTGGCTCAAGAGTTGGGCGTTCGCCTTGTAATCGGAAGGTTGCCGGTTCGAGCCCCGGCTTGGACAGTCTCGGTCGTTGTGTCCTTGGGCAAGACACTTCACCCGTTGCCTACTGGTGGTGGTCAGAGGGCCCGGTGGCGCCAGTGTCCGGCAGCCTCGCCTCTGTCAGTGCGCCCCAGGGTGGCTGTGGCTACAATGTAGCTTGCCATCACCAGTGTGTGAATGTGTGTGTGAATGGGTGGATGACTGGATATGTAAAGCGCTTTGGGGTCCTTAGGGACTAGTAAAGCGCTATATAAATACAGGCCATTTATACTCACTGTTTGCCATCATGCCAGTTACTGGAGGGATCACAACGATCGCAGGTTTGGAAAGCAACAGCTCAGCTCTGAAAACAGAGTAGCAAACACTATAGGTTCCTGCCTTTTAAAGAGCCTGGCATACTTAAAGAGATACAATTCCTGCTGAAACAGGTTTTTGGGACATTTCTTTGAAAGGCAGATCATTTAAAACTGCCAACCAAGTGAGACTGATTAGAATTAGATAACATTTTTTAGATACCAGCTCAGAAAAGGGAAAGGGACTGCTTTAGTCTCCAACAGTTGGCATTATGTAGCTGATTATATCACATGAATTCTTTTTGCTGCAGATGCCATCAAACTCATAGATGAGTAAAGAGCACAACTAGCATTCACTGTGCAAATGAGCCAGTCGGACAGGTCCAGAGACCAGTAACCCTCTGGCAACCACCAATCACTATGAAATTGTGCAAGCTGCAAGCAAGTCTTCAGCTGCCATTTTCCATATGAAATACAGGCAACCATTTCAATCTGCCGGAAACCAAAACCACCAAACCAAACAGGGTTAAAAACAGCAAACAAATTTTTAACTTGAGCTTTTCTAGCATCACCGATCACCCAAAGCACTTTAGACTACAAACCACAATTATTATTATTAAATAATTATTTGATCCCCTGTTGGGATCCATACAGTACATTTATTTTGTGTTTTTTAAATCCAGATTCAGAAGAGTTTTACGTGTTTTAAAATGTTACAAAAACTATAACTAAAATTATTATTTTTATTTTTTATTATTATTATTATTATTATTAGCCTAATACTGTGAGTTTTGCTGACACTCATATGATTAATGATCCTTTTATTCTCAGTCGCTGTAATTGCCCAAGAAATGTGGGGATATTACACCGGTTTTAATGACTCTGCACCAACTGCCCATTTGTTTAAGAACTGATTTTAGGATTATACTTTTAAAGCCTTTCATGGCCCCAAAATAGAATAGAATAGAATATTGGAACTGGTGTCTCTGTACCAAGCAGTACACAGCTGACTCTAAAAGCAATCTAGTGTTAACAGTTGGCAGTTGTTTTAATTACAGTTTTCATTGTTAACAACAAATAACCTCAATGAAAAATCTTAAACCAGAAAAACTGTAATGCCAAAATTCCCATAACAAAACCCCACTTTCATGATTGCTATTGATGTGGCAAAGGTAAATTAGCTCTCAATTTACCATTTTGTCACAATGGTTATAACACAGCTGATAATATTTAAATGCACAACAAGCTGCTGCTTTGCTTAAATATGATCTATTATTGGAGCTGGGTCGTCTTAACTCTGCATCAGGTGATACTTTTTGTTTTGCAAACCTTTTTGTTCTTTATCTCATTGGGTGTGTCTCTGAAATGTTTCTGCATAAGTGCACACCTGTGCATTTTCAGATAACACATAGTTATGTGTGTAACACTATCCGATTTTTCATAAAGATTAGATTTCAGTTATGTCAGAAAACACATGCTATTTTATGTTATCTTCTAGGTTGTTTAATTTCATAGCAGCTTGTATAAAGTTTTAGCAGGTGAGGGTACAGTGAGGTGAGAACAGCGAGACATCCTTCGAATGCCACTAAAACTGGAATTTTAATTCATTGTTATCAGAGATTCTTTAATAGGACATTTCAAATTTAGAAGTATTTAAAGTGATGTCCAGTTTAATTAAAGGGAAAATAAATCAAATAGGAAAATGATTAATGAAATACTTAAAATATGGTCTTTATCCTTTAAGGTCGGGTCCTCTAACAGTGGAGTACCTTTGCTGTTCCTAGGACTGCGCTCCTCTGGACAGAGATCTTGGATCTTGGTCCTGGCATCTGCTGGAGCCACTCGCCCAGCTTACTCTGATTACCATGGCGACCACTGTTACCTTTACCTTTACATAAAATTATATGACATGTGACATATACCGTAAATTGTTGTGTTGTTCTGTGAATAGTCAGTGAAGCATTTGCGTTGACATGACTGGAATTTCATGTAATAAATTTGTTAAACTCAAATATCACATTTTTAGAATCCTAGAGACAATGATCAAAGAGAAAACTAAAACAAATAACCACCTACAATAATAAGTAAAAGACAAAAAAGTAAAAGACAAAAGATTAAAATAAGGGAAAAAAAGAGAAGCAACTGAAACTGAAACAAACTGCATGCACACAATAATCAAATAGTTTTGATCAAATAGATCAAAACAGGCGCTGCAGGCCTGGCAAAAACTACTTGTATAAAACATAGAGAATATAAATACATATAAAAATGAAAATCTGTGAATGTAATCATAATTAGGAAAAAGCAATTATATTTTTCTTGACAGTTGGTTTTATTGATCTAACACCAAAGAAAAGATCCACACGGTGCTTTGTGTGACACCTGCTGGCCAATTTGGTTTATCGCCAGATCTTGAAGATGATGTTCTGTGAAAAAGTGACACATACGAGTCCTGCACAAGTCAAAACAATACTTATCATACCATTCTGTCAATAACTGTGATCAACACATGTTTTGGAGAAATCCGCATATAAACAAGTCAAGTAAATAATGAGACTGTTAAAGACAGCAAGCTGTCTTTAAAGAGGATGAATCAGTGGTGCAGATTTAAAACATTGTACAAGTTTGAACAAGAGCAGGAAGAATCAGGTGAATAAATGGGCCAATAATGAAGTTAGCTGGAAAAACAATGATCACTTTTCACAGAATAATTTTTAAATAGCAGTGACACCTTGTGGTGAAAAACCTAATCACCATCTCATGACTGGTTACCCTTCTCGCTACAGCAGCCAATTTAACTAGTCATTGTGAGGCTTACCATGCAGTGGGCATATCCTTCTGTGCGTTTATGAAGCAGCTGAGAGTATTAATACGTTTATTAGCTGTCACAACCTTTGTTGCTATCAGTTTATTGCAAGACCTGTGCATTTCTGTTGAGGGGAGTTGTTTCTAACTGTATCTTTGCATTCCCCGTGGTGCATAGCATCCATATGCTAGTCCAGGCAGTGAATGTTCTTGTGTTACCTTGATAAATCTGTCTGAATTTATCACTAATTGTTCATATTTACTAGTTCTGTTTGCATTGCTATTGTCATTCTTCATTGGGCAAGATACTGAATCTCAAGTTTCCCGAAATCAGTTCTAGAGATTAATGAAAATATTTGCATTGTTTATTGTAATCAGCTCTATCTATCCTTGGTCTGCACAGTATTAGTTCCTCTAGGGGCAAAGTTCAGAGAGAAAACTGAGCCTGATGTTTCAAATGTCACAATCACAAGGTCAGATATTGAGTTAAAATTCTGATGTTGAATGATGTTGTAGATAAAAGCCCATCATAGTAAGAGGAGTAGATGTAGTAACTGGAGAGCCAGATCATAGTAAGCAAGGCAGATGTTCAAATGGGAGAGCCGGTTTTTGACGATGTAGCAGCATGGAGGCATCTGCAGTGGGGGTGAAGGGAGAGAGGTGAATAATCCCATAGCAAGTGAAAATGGTGACTGAAGAAGAAACACGATGAAGTGCATCATGGGAATTCATCCATCTATCCATCCATTCTCTTCTTCTTATGTTAAATAGGGTCAATGGTTGCACTGGAGCCTATCCCAGCTACCATAGGGCGAGAGGTGGGGAACACCCAGGTCAGGTCACCAATCTGACATAGAGCTAATAGAAGGTGTTAAAAGTAGAGAAACAGATGTGTTAGGAGTAGAATTTGAAGCGTGGGGGTCAGTTGTAATGTGGTTGAACCAGAAGGTGGAGTGGGAGTTGTTAAATTGCTAGGGGCAGAAGTGGTTGATATGGATGAGGGGCAGAAGCAGTTTTTGATATCTGGATAAAACTGTGAGACAGTCTTGTGTAGAGGACACTGTGTTCCAGGAAACATGTTAAACTCAGAGTCTGCTGTCCTCAGTTTGTTGTGCAGTTCTGACAGAGTCTTGGTCTGTAGATATTTGTGTTTAGATTCATCTGGAACATTTTCGCCCCAGTGTGCGCTAGCGATCCACATGTCCATGTTGGAGCTGTAGCAGCAGAATGCCGACCAGAGCATGGAGGGAATGTTAATCTTGTTGTTGAGGATGTTGTTAGAGCTGGGTTGTGCTCCAGTTACCACAAAAACTTCAGTGACACCACTGCTATTTTTGCAGTATTTGTCCATAACACATTTGATGCACCTCTCCATTTTGTTCCAGCTTCCCTGGTTGAAAGTTCTTGCTTGTGGAACAATGTTGGTCAGGGTGAAAGTAGCCATTTTGTCATCTTTAGTGAATGCATGAGAGCTTGGAAATATGTGACCTTTGTCATATGTTCCATTGGATTTGAAATCAGTGTCTACAGCCTGGTGATTGTAGATCTTCTCTTTGTCTTTTCTCCTCATGTTATTGCTGTCATTTTCATTCTCAAGCTGCAAAGAGGCTTACAGTTAGTTATGAATATACAGGGTGGGCCATTTATATGGATACACCGTAATAAAATAGGAATGGTTGGTGATATTAAAGTCCTGTTTGTGGCACATTAGTATATGTGAGGGGGCAAACTCCTCAAGATGGGTGGTGACCATGGTGGACATTTAGAAGTCGGCCATCTTGGATACAACTTTTGTTTTTTCAATAGGAAGAGGGCCATGTGACACATCAAACTTATTGGTAACATCACAAGAAAAACAACGGTGTGCTTGGTTTCAACGTAACTTTATTATTTCATGAGTTATTTACAAGTTTCTCTTTGTTCACAGCCATTGACATGTCCGTGAGGAGCGGATCGAAATTGTGTTGATATCTGGTGAACGCAGTAACCGGGTCATTGCAGCAGATTTCAAGGCAAGACACCCTGCAAGACCACCCATCTCCCATGCTACAGTTAGCAAACTGCTTGCTAAGTTTCGTGAAACTGGTTCAGTGTTGGATTTGCCAAAATGTGGACGCAAGAAAACTGTCACTAATGAAGAAACATCAGTGGCTGTCCTAGCGTCATTCAGCAAGAGCCCACAGCGTAGCACTCGCCGCATGTCACTGGAGAGTGGCATTAGTCGAACATCCCTTCAGCGGATATTAGCTACTCACAAATGGCACCCTTTCAAACTCCAGCTACTGCAGCATCTCAACGAGGATGACCCAGATCGGCGCACATAATTTGCAGAATGGGCAAAACAAAGATTGGAACAGGACCCTCAGTTCACGCAGAAGATTTTGTTCAGTGATGAGGCAAACTTTTATGTGAACGGTGAAGTTAACAAACAAAACCACGGCTATTAGTCTGACACTAACCCACATTGGATGGATCCCTCCAAGACTGTTGGACCAACAAAAGTGATGGTTTGGTGTGGTATATGGGATACAATGATAGTGGGTCCATTCTTCATCAATGGAAACCTCAAGGCCACTGGATATTTGAAATTGCTACATGATGTGCACTGAAGCTGGCACGTTCCCTGAGTTTTTCCAGCAAGATGGTGCACCACCACATTATGGGTGCCAGGTCCGAGCATTCCTAGATGAACAGTTTCCTGGAAAGTGGATTGGTCATTGTGGGCCAGTTGAATGGCCCCCAAGGTCTCCCGATCTGACCCCCTTAGACTTTTATCTTTGGGTTCATCTACAGGCAATTGTCTATGGTGTGAAGATACGAGATGTGCAGCACCTGAAACTACGGATACTGGATGGCTATCAGTGTGTGAAGAGTGGGAGAAGAGGGTTGCATTGACAATCCAACACAATGGGCAGCACATTGAACACATTTTATAAGTGGTCAGAAACTTGTAAATAACTCATGAAAGAATAAAGTTACGTTGAAACCAAGCACACCATTGTTTTTCTTGTGACATTTCCTATTCCTATGGGGCAGGGATAGCTCAGTAGGTAAAGTGGTCGCCCCATGATCGGAAGGTCGGCGGTTCGAATCCACTTAACGGCTACCCTGAGGTACCCCTGAGCAAGGTACCGTCCCTACACACTGCTCCCCGGGCGCCTGCTTAGTGGGCTGCCCACTGCTTCACTGAGTGAATGGGTCAAATGCAGAGAAAAACAAGTAATTTCCCCATGGGGATCAATAAAGTATCCATTATTATTATTATTATTATTGAAAAAACAGAAGTTGTATCCAAGATGGCCGACTTCTAAATGGCCACCATGGTCACCACCCATCTTGAGGAGTTTGCCCCCTCACATATACTAATGTGCCACAAACAGGACTTTAATATCACCAACCATTCCCATGTTATTATGGTGTATCCATATAAATGGCCCACCCTGTACAGTAGCACATTGTAAGATATAAATAAAAGTTTGATTTACAGTCTGTGAGACCTACCTGTGGCTCTATCTGCCAATGACTGCGGGGTCGCTTTATTTCTACGTCTCCAATGTACTTGTATGCAGAAAATACTGGAATCTTGTTCTTGATGTCATAGAGAGTTAAAAACCTTCTCTTGTTCTTATAAGTCTGGCATATAGGCTTGTACTGGTTCTGGTTCAGGATATTTCCACTTTCCAAGACACCAGGGACCTGAGGGGGAGTTTCCTCAAGAAGAAATTGTTTACAGATTGATACTGGTGTGACCACTTCAGCTAAAGTGGGATCTATTGGAAGGACTAGGAAGAGCAGGGCAGGGATGGACAGGAAACAGGTTTGTATTGATGACATCCTCAACTGAGATGTGTCCTGTGGTCAGATGAAAAAACAAAAAAACTCATCAGCAATACACCTTAAAATTTTTGGACAAGACTGAACAACCTGTGTAGAGGAGTAATGCTAGCCTACACATAATGACAACAGGAGGTCTCGATTCTACAACAGATATGTACCAGGGTTGCATAAGTGGAAACGATAACATCAAGCTGCAGTGATCTTGCATTTAATGAGCCATTGTGATTATACTTCTCTGCATTTGCAGACTGTGTACTTACAGGCCTTCCTTTCTTGGAAGGCCTGTAAGTACAAAGTAGGTCTTTCTCAGAGAGTGTGCTTTGGCTTAAAAAGAAGTTGAAGGGTGGCGTAAGCAAGTGAAATAAACAGTTATGATGACGGATATTAAGTCATTCATTGCTGGCAGAAAACATTCTAAAGTATACTGCTTACTTGCATAGAATAAGGTACTGTTTTAATATGTGGTTACAGGTGGCTTATAGAGCACCAGTAGACACACCTGTGGTAACAATTTCAACATCTTTTGTCACCTTATCACTTTCACAAGAGTTTCAGAAAACTTACTCTCACCTCTGATACTGTGACATCAAGGTCAATGAGATTCAAACTCGTCCGAGATTTTTAATAGATACACCTGTGGTATCAGTTTGAAGGTCCTACGTCATTTCATTCCTAAACTGGCGAAGTGACTTGGTGATTTATTTTTTTTTTGCACAACACTGGTCACTATATTCTTCATTTCCGGTTAATACTTGTACAGCTGCTGTTATTGTGTATATATTTATTTATATTTAGATTTCTTCATACATTCTTATATAGTTCTATATTGTGTATTGTGTATTTTGTTGTACAGTTATTTTATTTTCAACTTTAATTTATATATTTTATCTTATTCTTCCCAGTTAAATTTACCCTTCATTCTAATTTGTGTTGTACAGTTATTTCATTTTTAACCTTAATTTATATTTTATTCCTTCCTAGTTAAATTTACCCTTTTTAATTTTTCATATTTATTTCCTATCTTATTCATAGCCTTTCCTTTTTTGTTTTCTTTAGGTCACGAGCAGTTGTCCAAGCATTTCACTACATATCGTACTGTGTATGACTGTGTACGTGACAAATAAAATAAAATTTGAATTTGTATTTATTCTAAATATAACATAGAAACATATCAAATGTTTAAAGAGGGAAAGAAAATCACAATTAAAAAAATATTAACTCATTTTGAATTTGATGGCAGCAGCATGTTTCAAAAAACTTTTATTTACTTCCCTGTCAATTCTGCGAACTGAGGACAACAATTATTGGAATTTGGGGAGAGTAATGTTATCTCACTGTCTTGTCTGATGTTGGATTTTAGCTGCTCAGCAGTCCAGGGTCTTCTTTGCCGCATTTTTCATTTTATGATACTCCAAATCTTTTCAGTTCCTAGAAGGTCTGGACTGCAGGCAGGCCAATTCAGCACCCAGACTCTTCTACTGTGAAGCCATGCTGTTGTAATAGATGTATTGTGCCTTTTTGCTGAAATATGCAAGACCTTCCCTAAAAAAGACATCTGAATGGGAGTGGATATTTATCTGACCTGTATATATCTTTCACCATTGTTGATGCCTTTCCAGATGTGCAAGCTGCCAATTCCATAGGCACTAATACATCACTGGATACCAATTGGTATCCATCAGAGCTGTAGGCTTTGGAACTGTCTGATAGCAAGGCGAATGGTCTCTCTGCTCTTTAGAGGTTACAGGGTCAGTGTTTTTCAAATTATATATAGAGTTTCAATTCATTGTCCCCACAGAACAGTTTTCCACTTTGCTTCAGACCCTTTTAGATGAGAAGATGGTGGCTTTTTTTTTTTAAAATCATATATGGTTTATATTTGAATGAAGGAGACTTGCATTTATGGATGGCACACTGACCTGTGTTACCAGAAAATGATTTGTGAAAATGTTATTTCTATGCCACATTCATGCCTGTTCTTTAATGCGGTGCCGCCTGAGGGCACGATGCTCACAGGCATCCAGTACTGATTTTCAGCCTTCTCCCTTCTGCAGAGAGATTTCTTCAGATTCTCTGAATCTTTTGATATTTTGCACTATACATGATTAGGGATGGGTATTGATAAGATTTTAACGATTCCGATTCCATTTTCGATTCTGTTTAACGATTCGATTCTTTATCGATTCTCTTATCGATTCTTTTTTTTTTTTTTTTAAAAAGGAGAACACTAAGGTCGATTAGCTCAGAGCTTTGTTTTATATCTTCTCTTGAACAAGATAGAAATTTAGGAGTAACATGGCCTTACAAACCCAACAGTGAGATCTTGAGAGATCCAGCCTACGGCTCTTCAATGGGGTGTCACAGGGTCCCCAGGAAAAAAAATTGTAAATGTAAAATAATAAAATAAATATTCTTGTGAGACATATCACATATTGACGGGGTCGGGTTATGTTAAAAAGTATAAATTGTTATACTTTGTTCATTGGTTCAAAGGTACCCCACACTTCTTTTTTTGTTTGCTTGTTTGTTCTGGTGTATTTTTCATTTGAACTGTTACTCTGCCAGAGTACTCATATTTACAAGATGGCATTGAACGCCCCATTGGTGTATCAGGAAAACTATTTTGTACGTATGTTCCTTGAAGGGGATTGAAGTCGTTCTTTTTTCCACCGCAGCGAAGGGCTAGGAGTAGGAGAGGAGCTGCTGTATGTTTTTGTTATCGAATCGATCTGATTGTGAAATAAAGCATATGCAGTGAGAAAGCAACTCCAGGAGTCATCCCTGCCTTAAAGCTGCAACATTCTTCTGTAGCAATAACAAAGTATAACATAAATTGTTCTGTGGCAATTACACAAGAATATCCAGTAATGTCCCTGCCTACAATTAAACACATTCACTTACCAAAAATCGGGGGCATCTGCTGTGGCAAATGGGTGCAAGCCTTTGACCACAAACTTAGACACTGCTCGGTGACATTAGTCTATCCTGGCCTGAAAGGAGACGCTACCGGTAGACTGCAGCGAGAACTACCAGCGAGCGCCAGCCAGACTCTGTCTGTCTCTCTCATCATGGTCACCTACATGTACAGTAATGGCAGGTCTTGTAATAAGGCAGATTGCGCTAACATAATATGCACTGTTAGTTGATTATTTACCTGCCGCATTAACGGGAGAGGACGTGCAAACGTTAGCGCTGCTGCTGGGTTGAGAGTCACGAGTCCGGAGCGGAATTAAAAACGCGTGTCATCGCGTGTTTTGTGAGCAAATGCTTTTGCATATTCGTAGTGTTTCCTCCCTTAAATGAAATATCTACTTTGCAAGTTGCCCTGTTGTCATCGGTTCTCATAAAGTATAATCAAACTTTTGAGCGTTTGAGACGCTTAGGCGCCATGTTTCCTGCCAGGTAAATGACGCTCCGCAACGTGGTGACGTCATTCGGGGCGACTGGAATCGATAAGGGAATCGTTTGCAAAAATGGCAAACGATTCCAAGGAATTGAAACAGTGGGAACCGGTTCTCAACAAGAACCGGTTTTCGATACCCATCCCTATACATGATGAGGTATTTAAAGTCTTGGCAATGTTCAGATGAGGAAAACTGTCCGCACTTTGTAGAGTTACTTTTTTGTAGATTGGTGAACTACTCTGAAGCACTGCCTCTCTAAGCTTATGTTTTTATACCCGAACATGTTACTGACTTGCTGCCAGTTAATCTTATTATTTGCAAAACGCTTCTGCTACGGTTTCATTTTCCACTTACTTTTCCAGGATTTATTTTTGCTCCTGTCCCAACATTTTTACAAAGTGTTTCTGCCATCACTTTCAAAATGGGCTAGTTTCTTTTTCATGAAAGTTGAATGTCTGTGTTTAAAAGCACTATATAAATAGTATATATAAATAGTCCACGATTCAAATGTTGACAAGCATAGCAACTGTAACTAATGGAGACGCTCAATGCTCAGTTACTTTCTTAGTATTTAGGTGGAAGTCACATAGCGAGCATACAGCCTACAAACACCACCTCAAGTCAGTTCATGTTTCTTCATAAATATTAAATATTCATCTGTCATCCGAATGTGTTGTTTTCAAAACACTAATAATCTGTTCCTGTTCAACATATTCTAATTAGGTAAATTCTTTGTTCAGACCAACTTCATCAGTGTTCAATTTAATACATTTTCATTTGAATGATAATTTGAAGTATATATGCATTTTAACATTACATGTATATGATTTACCTTAAGTTAAATTTTTATATATTTAATAGTTAAATATTTATACCCATAAAATACTTTGTTCTGATTTTGCATTTCTCATTCATTCTTCGGCGACCATGACAATGAGCTAAAATGCCGTCACAAAAGTTTGTAAATGCTTTGAAATCTAATTCTCTAGCATTGGTGAATGATTTCATTCTTTGTCCACATAAATATAAAAAGCTGCGAAAATTCAAGAGGATTAAAGATTACATTTTAAATGTAATACACACACAATATTAAAAAAGGACAAATACACTGAATAATCAGCAAGAAGACTTAACTTACCACTCTCAAGATTATCACTGAAACTCCTGTCACGTGAAAATGGCTGTGGAAACTGGGAACGCTTCCTCGGTTGTGTAAATACGAATAATATGGAGTAGTTCAGCAGTTTTATTATGAGAAGAGTATGCACTGTCAGCAATTTGTCATCAATGTTATTCTGAAGACGTTGATGTCAAACTTGTGTCAAAGTCTAAATGTCTAAATACAATGTTTGTTATCACAGAATGAAAACTGGCCTTGCAGCATGTTGACATGGTATAACTTTTATTATATTTTTTAGTTGTAAAAGTAACACAATTATTTATTTATTTATTTATTTTCTACAGTACTCTAATATTATGCATTGCATTATACATATTATGTGTGGGAGGTGATGGGGAAGTACACAACATAAAGAGCACACACGGGTAACTCCCTTAACTCTGTGAGGTCTAGGTCATCAGTGACGACCCCAACCTGAGCCCCAACACGAAACACAATCCTATGATTTGAATTTCAAAGACTTGGGAGAGCAGTTTTTATAAAGCAAACGTTCCATATTTTGACTTTAAAAGGTTAGTTTAATGGTGACCCCTCTACTGTTAGGGTCAGGGTTTCATTAGAATCCACTATTTTATTTAGGAAACAATAGAAAAGCTTTTACCAGAACAAATATAATGAGATTCACTATTTGAAAAGTTTGTTTATTTAGCATGGGTCAGAATAAACCCAACATTGACACTAGATGGGTTGCTGTAGACCTGATGGATTTCAGAGCAACACAAATGAGTATAAAGTTAATGGAAACTTGAGCTTGAAAAAAAAAAAACTTTCAGTGGCTTTTTCTTGCTGACAGGTCTCTGACCAAACGGCTTCCTGTTCGTGTCTGAGTGGGAGGAAACATGTCAGCAAATAATGCATCGTACATGCAGAGCCTGTCGTTATGTGTCTTCATTGTTGCTGTCAGTTCATCCCTGTGAGTCATCTTGAAATACCACCAACATGTGATGTGAACTTTTGTCTTTAGTACTGCTGGTGCAGGTGTTCATGGCTGTGAGCTGATGTGATTTAGTGAGCGGAGAATGAGTTTAGAACTGGTGCGATTGGTCCTTCCTCCCCATTTAGTTCATCGGTCCATTCCAATCACAATAAAGCACCATTGCATGGCATTTTAGATGTGGCTCCTGAATGGCAGCCATGGAGGGTGTGAGCAGCTGATTGGTCAGTTTGGAGTTGCCTCGTCGTCCTCCAGAGCTTCGGAGATCATTACGCAAAGATTGGCGAATGAGGGACGGTCCTCTGTCCTCTGCAGAGAGAGAGAAAAGACAAAAGATATTTGAATACAGGACTTTTACATGTTTATATCATGTAAGAGGATGGGTTCTCGTATCACGAGACATTTCCAATTATCCATATGAAAAAGCATTTTTAAATGAGTCAATGTTCAGCTTTTGTGCATGTACCAAAAAACTCAATTAAAAAAAATTTGGGAGTTTTTCTTGTTCTAGTCATTCATGTTTGCGTTGTTGTGTATTTTAATAACAATGATTGACACATAATCCCAGGGCAACGAGGCGCTCTCACTTCTCCATTAGTAAACCACTGTTAGAATCAGCTGAGCTAAAGAGGTCAATAGAGGTCAAAAAGCAAAACAAAACAAATTATCGCATTATGATTTTTGTGTTTCATGCAATGTGTTCCAAGGTAAAGTGTTATTGTAATCTAGAACTGCAACTATTCACAGAGTAAGATGATTATAAAAAATTCTAAGCACTAAATCTTTGTTTTGATGCTTCGTTTAGGGCAAGGCTTGGTAGCACGCCATTGTCACCATGGAAACGTGAGTGTTTCACCCACATTCGTGACTAAAAACAGACCTGCAATACGAACGTATTTCAGAGCAATGTGTGAATAAAAAGTTTGACAACATTAAGCCCACACAGCCTCCAGCTTTAAACATTAACACTCATAACACAACAGCAGCGATGATGACACTGCCACAGTTTAACGTGGAGCCGGAGTCTGTTTACACACCGGAAGTGCAAAAAGGCGGAGCCGTTACTCCATCCACCGCCGTTTGTTTTACGAAGAGAAAAATCTGCAGTAAGCTTTCAGATGTTGTATAAAAATATGCAGAAGAACCTTTAACATGGTCTGATATCATGTTTAAATTATACAGCTTGCTGAAGGCTGATGACAGCCATCCTATTTTACATGGAAGTGAACAGCGGTGAGTCTAAAGGGGGGCATACGGTGTACTAGACCATATTAATTTGAATACTTTTGTAACATTTTTCAGATTGAGTAAGTAAAATAATATAAAATCCTAACAATATAAAAATAACAGCTAAAAAATACATTTAAAAAATTAAAAATTATAAGAAACGAGCCTCATATGAAGAATTTACTTCCCATTTTTTACTCACCTCATACCAACACATCTGCATGGTGTCATAGATGGCAGGCTTGGCCATTTTGGGCCTGTACAGGCGATGACCCTGTGTAACTAATGTCACCACCTCATGGTTGGGGCTTTGCTCAAATGGCATCCGACCCTCTGTGAAGACCTCCCACATCAACACACCTGGAGACCCAAACACAGAGAGGCGATTTTTTTTTATGAGCGCTGAGAAAATTTCTGTCTGTTAAACTAAGTGGAAAAATGTTCCAGCTCACCGTATGACCAGACGTCCGACTTGCTGCTGTATTTGCAAAAGTTAAAGACTTCAGGAGGTGACCACTTCACAGGAAACTTGGCGCCTGATGAGCTGGTGTACTGATCATCTAACACGTATCTGCATTTAAACCATTTAGTGATATCAGACGCTTTTATTTTCTATCTGCTGACTTGATGCGAGTCATTTATAACTGGAGGGAAACTTGTACCTGGTCATGCCAAAGTCAGACACTTTCACCACTAGAGAGTCGTTTACCAGACAGTTTCTGGCTGCCTTTAGAAAACGAAGAACAACAGAAGAGGATGGAATCAAAACATATGACTAAAAGTACTTAGCAGCTCAATTTACTTAGTGATGGATTTAACAGTTTCCCAACGATAAGCCAAGCTTGAAGTTACCAAGTCTCTGTGGATGAAGCCGTTGGCTTCCAGGTGTGCCATGCCCTCGCAGACATCCAAACAGATACTCAGCAAGCACCCCTGGTTAAAGCTGCCCCGCCGCTGCCTGAGGTAGTTCAACAGGCAGCCCTGCTCCATGAACTCCGTGACAATGTAGATTGGCCGCTGCTGGCTGCACACCCCGTACAACTGTACCAGTTTGGGGTGGGACAGTTTCCTGGAGAGGGGAGTTGGTTTTGTTAAATGGAAATGACATTTTCCAAGCAGCAGTTTCAAATATTTATTGGTCAAAGAGGCTCAAATGTGAAGAGTCGGTTACAGATTTCAGTTCCTCCTTT